TTCTCCACTCCTGCACACACTAGTGCTCTTAACAGAGAGCAGAAGCTGCAGTGTAAAGCCCAGGTTTTTCTCAGTGATCAGAAATGCTCTAACAATGGTGTTTCATGTCATTCTTTTCCTGTCACAACAGCAGGATTCACTTCAGCAACAGGTTGATTTTCAGCTGTAAGAATGAACACAATGTCTTTCATGTCTTCAGACATTACCTGTGGTGATTCCAGTGAACAGCAGCATGGGTCAGCCGAACCCCTGTCCTTACGACTATAGTTTGAGATTTGTAGAGCGTCCTGAGTTTATCTGATGGCACAGTTTCATTTGACTTCAGCTGCTTTACAGCCGTTTCAGTTTCATCCAGTCTATTAAATTAAATCAAGTCTCTTTTCTGAAATGTTTTGGTTCATTTTAAACTGTTCGTTGGATTATTTTAGCAATAAAAATGCTTCGCTTTGAAAGTGCACTTCAAAAATAGAAATTTATTTCTTACAGTATCTCTGTCAGTTTGATTCCTCTTTAACAGCAGTCTTAATTGTTAAGATGTTTGCTATCAATAGTTTACACACAGGGTTTATACAGGAAATATATAACTATTTAAAGCCTATTATCAATTAATAAATTAATAAGTGGTCAATACCTTTTCTGTGGTCAACTGTAGTATCATATAAACGCTGAAAATAACTGATGTTTGACTCACAGAAAGCAAAGAAGAGATTAATTGAAAAATAGCACAGATCGCTTGACGGAGAGCGAAACTCTGAAACGCTCAGTCAGAGTGTTCGGCGAGTGTAAATATATCTAGGCTAAACTTATACTTAGCCTCCAACTCACACACTGGCGAGTAAAATCTGAGAATTTATTAGCAATTGGCTAATATTAGACATCATTTAGTCGCCAGAGTGAAGATTTAGTCGCATATGCGAGTGATTTACTGGCAACGTAGAGGGTTGCAACGTGCAACTTTGGTTAAAAGAGGGAAATGTGGTTGAATTGAACCTGTCCTTTATAGCTATTAATATGAAGAGGGTGATAAAAAAGGTTTTCTGATTAATGTTTTACTTTTGTTAGCGAAGAATTTTATTCACAAATGTAGATTTTTTAAATCACCCCCCATGTTTATAGTATTATTTGAGACTTATACTCAAAAACTTTGTCAAAAACAAAAAAATAAAAAAGCCGGAATCTTGTTAAGATTTATTTGATAAATATAATTTATTATAATGTTTTTTTTTTATCCCCTGTGTTTAATCTATATTTATTAATATAGATGGTTTAAAGAATGAATGTTATTTTTTTTATTTTATTTTTTTTTATTCTGTGTAAGTCTAAGCCAAACTGTTGTCCTTGAATGTAAGTTGTATGCCAACTTGTACTGTAAGCTTGTAATTTTTTGCTATACTTAAAAAAAAAAAAAGTTTATTAGACGAGGAAGGGCGGGGTCTCAAAATTAAAGATGAAAGATGCAACATAAGCAGGGGTCACTCATTCTTCATTAAATAAATAAACAGTTAATTCTGCCGAAATACATAAAACATGAAACAGTTTTGATGCGATATTATTGATTGTTAATGTTGCTAAGGGTGTTGCTCAGTGATACACAGAACCATTGGGTGAAGCGGTCAAAGCCGTGCTGTATCGTGAATAAAACACAGCTGCTGACCAATCAGAATCGAGGAATGGAACTAACCGTTTTATAATAAGGAATATAAAACTTTTTAAGGATCTGCAGGCACCCTGTTAACTCTTTGTTAGCCTAATATACCACAAACTCATTAAAGATTAATTTATAATAAACACCAACCTGGTTCTGGTTCCTCGTGTTTTATTCTGCAGGTTTCTGGTTCCTCGTGTTTTATTCTCCAGGTTTCTGGTTCCTCGTGTTTTATTCTCCAGGTTTCTGGTTCACTCGTGTTCTCCTCACTCTCCTCTTTAACAAACACCATCTTCACAGCAGCAGATCTCAGTTCAGCTGTTACTCCTCCAGATATTACTGCTTGCTTCAAAACTTAGTCACGACTGTGAGGATGAGAATATTACAGGTATTTAACGTTACTGACCTGATTCAAAAACTGTATTTCTCTATTTAGCGTACAGAAACAACATTTCTAACAGATTGTAAACAGCATCACGTAAAAACAACAGAGAGCTCGGTGAAACGAATCTTCTTCCTCTGAGTTTTAATGGTGTTTGGCAAAGGAATGTGTTTTAGCGCCACCCGCTGGACTGGAGTGAGAAGCGCCGAGCAGGTGCTGTCATCAAGCGTTTATTTGTGTCGCCCCGCCCCATTCAAGAGGACTCCAAACAGGCGCACAGAAACGGATTTCATTTATTTGATGCGTTTCAATACTAATATTTATTTGGATTTTTGTAGAATTTTTAATTATCATATCCCATGCACTCACATGTTTGTTTTTGTTTCTCTCTGCAGATAAGTTATTTTAGTTGCTGAAATCAAGGAAAAGCTAAAAAGGTAGAAATTGTGTTATTTAGAGATGTTTAAGATATACATATATTAGTGTTTTTAAATTAGTGTCATCTCTGTGTTACTGTGTGAGCCACTACAGGGATCCTTTACACGTGAACATTTAAACTGTCAAAAAATGTTGATTGATGTGAAAGATAGTATGTCAAATGAAATCTCATATTTCAAAAATTGAGGAGGTTAAGTTGCTCATTTAAAAACTGTGATAATTCTTTTTCAGTGAAATTGTTTTTCATATCCCACCCATCTAGAAAGCGTAAATCATCCTTGAGAACTTGAACCACGTACAAGAGAGTGTCCTTTACGTCCTAAAGCCAGTAAAAGCGAGAAGTTCTTTCACAAATCAAAACTACAAGCATGTGTTTTGATTTGTACATAATGAAACTTTAATATTAGAAAAGTAAGCATACAAATATATGAGTGTATATATTATATTTTCCTGGTTATAATAAAAAATTCCAAATAAAGCATAGTGTTACTGTGGCAAAATATAATACACATAACTTAAGTATTGTGTCCATTATTAAGTTCAAAGAGATGTTTGACAGTCCTCCAAACAACTAACTGTCCTCAAACACAGCCTGACGCAGCTGACACAGAATAGCATACGCTGTTTACGTTCAGTGGATACTCTCCAAAATAGCACCAGGGTGGAGGAGACAAATTGTTGAATAAAGTCGTTATTTTTGTTTTCTTTTGCGCACAAAAAGTATTCTCGAAGCTTCGTAAAATTACGGTTGAACCCCTGATGTCACGGATTATTTTACCGATCTCCTTGCTACGTCTCTTGACCTTGATCGTGGTAATTACATTGCTGTCTATGGGAGGGTCAGAGAGCTCTCAGAATTCATCAAAAATATCTTAATTTGTGTTCCGAAGATGAACGGAGGTCTTACGGATTTGGAACGACATGAGGGTGAGTAATTAATGACAGAATTTTCATTTTTGGGTGAAGTAACCCTTTAATGTATTCTTTCTCGTATGCCACAATGTTCAGATTTGACAGGGAACAGCACTTTTTTGTGATCTTTCCCATTCATCTTTTTGTCCCAAGTTGACAAAAAGATTGAATCCAATATTTGGTGATAATATCGCTTAATGAGTGATTTATATGCATTTTTTTGAGGCCGGGTCATTTTTGACCGGGAACACCACAAGTGTGACTTTGTGCCATTTTGTACAAAATAAAAGCCTTTCAAAACAAACTCCCTGATTAAGCATTAAAGCACACTATTGTGATAAACAGTGCAAATTTTCTTCAGTTTTTATTTAATATTGTGAAAATTATTCATAAATAATGCTTTTTTCACTCAAAAAATGAGGTGCCTACTCTCAGATAAATGAGGCCTACGATTAATTAGAAGCAATATAAATACAAAACCAGTCCTAAATGAAAGAAAATAAGTTGACAAAAAGATTGAATCCAATCTTTGGTGATAATATAGCTACTTTATAGATAATCTCTACTATACAGATTACTAATGACTTTACTTTCAAGTTACTTTCATGTTTACTTTACTTTTCAAGTTATCAAACCTAAAAAATACACTACTAAGAGAAACTCATAGTTCTTTCATTAATTTAATATTGACTGAAAAGATAATACATAAGTAGGCCTATTTGTATACCCCTGATTCACTCCCAATATCAACAAAACTTTTTTTGTTTTGTTTTGTAAAATAAAACAAATAGGGTGCGTTTCTGCATTCTCAGTCTCTGTGAATATCTTCCTGAAATGAGTCGAATGAACGAAAATGACATGAGAAATACAAGTAAGCCTATATCTGGAAAGCTTGAAGTGTCTATTATTAAATGAAGTAAGTCATGTCGAAAACAAATATTCTCTGATAAAAGAATCCATATGAATCCAACGCGAGGTACAGTCTTTCCCGTCTGAGCTCAGCTATAATGTGATCATGCCCACATGTATCGCACGCTATAAGATAGTCATCCACGCGAAACCAGGCTTGAGACGCGCGAACATGTAAAGGCTCACGTCACCTCTGTAGAAATTCAAGTTCATCGTTTTTGGAAGAAGACGTGCTGTGAGGAACAAGCCTTGAGTTGTGATGCCTACGCGGTTTAATCCAGCAGATGATCTTACTCTGATAAGTCATTTAGTTTTTATTTTATTAGTGTTACTGTGACATAAACTTGTACATATTCACTTGTTGAACTTTTCCCAAACTATAATGCCAGACTAAAATATGTTGAGTGCAACATTTTGAAATATGATAGGCATCCTTTCATTGTATCTGGGGAAGTCGTGGCCTAATGGTTAGAGAGTCAGACTCGGCTGCCCACCGCTCCGGGTGTGTTCACTGTGTGTGTTCACTGCTGTGTGTGTGCACTTTGGATGGGTTAAATGCAGAGCACTAATTCCAAGTGTGGGTCACCATATTTGGCCACATGTCACGTCACTTCTTAGTGTGATTTCAGACTGCAGTGGTCTGGTTTCTCCACTGCATGGATCTTAATGAGTGTCTTCAGGTGACTTTTAAAAGCTAAACTGTTTCTGCACTGATCACACGCGTGCAGCTTCTCCCTGCTGTGGATCCTCTCGTGTTTTTTGCAACTTGTTGACCGACTGAATCTCTTGTCACATTGTGAACACTTGTAAGGTTTTTCTCCAGTGTGAATCATCTCATGCAGTTTTAAACAGCTCGCAAATGTAAAAGTTTTCCCGCACTCAAAGCACATATAAGCTTTTACACCAGTATGTATTTTCTGATGTACTTTTAAACTATACAGCAGTGAAAAACTCTTTCCACACACAGAACATGAATGTGGCTTCTCCTTCGTATGAATTGTCAGGTGTGTCACAATTGTGATGCAGTAAGAAATGTTTTGCCGCAATGAAGACAAGCGTGCGGCTTCTCTCTGGTGTGGATCCTCATGTGAAGATATTGTTTGTTTAAGAAACATTTTCTGCACTGTTCAGACGCATATGGCTTTTCTCCTGAGTGGATTTTCATGTGTCCTTTAAGATGTGCTGATTGCGGGAAACTCTTTCCACTGATCACAGGTATACGGTTTCTCTCCAGTGTGGATCCTCATGTGCCCCCTAAGATGTGCTTTCTGTGTGAAGCTCTTCCCGCACTGATCACATGTGAATGGCTTCTCTCCAGTATGAACTCTCACGTGAAGCTCAAGACATTGTTTGTTTGAGAATCTCTTTTCACACTGATTGCACATGAACGGTTTCTCTCCGGTGTGGATCCTCATGTGAAGCTCCAGATTTTGTTTATTTGGGAAACTGTTCCCACACTGATCACATGTGAACGGCTTCTCTCCAGTATGAACTCTCACGTGACATTCAAGATGGGATTTACAAAAAAATCTCTTTCCACATTCATGACATTTGAATGGTTTCTCTCCAGTGTGGATCCTCATGTGACTCTTAAGGTGTCCTTTCTGTGAGAAGCTCTTCCCGCACTGATCACAGGTGAACGGTTTCTCTCCAGTGTGAACTCTCATGTGAAACTCAAGAATACGTTTGGTTGTCAAACTCTTTCCACACTGAGTGCAGGTGACAGATTTCTTGTCTCTTCTTTTCTTTAAAAATGTCTTTTTAGTCTTTGAGTGACTCAAAGGTTTTTCTCCAGGTTTGTCATAATGTTCCTCCTCCTCTTCACTCAGTTCTTCACTCTCCTCATTCTCTTCTATGAGGCCTGAAATGAAAGATGTCAGCACTAATGTAATAGCAGAAACTAGATGTGCTACTTAAGACAGGTTTTGTGGTCCATACTGTGTGATTTTGGCTAAGACTGTGTCAGCCTCGCCACGAGGATGCACTGTTTTTGTTCAAACCAAAGCGTAAACATACATAGAAAACGTATCCTTGTAGCACGGCTGACACAGAAGAGTGTACGTAGTGCGTCCTGCGGATATTCTCCAAAATGGCGCTACGGTGACGCGAAGACACAGAATAGACGAATTATTGAATATAGTCATTATTTTTATTTTCTTTGCGTACAAAAAGTATTCTCGTCGCTTCATAAGATTCAGATTGAACCACTGACGGCAGATGGACTATTCTGATCATTTATTTCATACTTTTCTGGTCCTTGACAGTGTAATTTACTTGGCAGTCAATCGGACAGTCACAAGCCTCACAGTTTTCATCTAAAATATCTTAAATTGTGTTTCGAGGACGAACAAAGCTTTCACGGGTTTGGAACGACATGGGGGTAAGTGATTAATGACAAAATTTCCATTTGAACCCTTTAAGAGCATTTCTGAGAAGTTTTATACATACGGACCCTGATGAAGTGCTTGAATCTTTATAACATGAATGAAGAATAAACACCAACCTGTTTGTTCTTCAGTATCTTCAGTGTGTTTGATTCTGCAGGGTTCTGGATCTCTCATCTTCTCTCTGTCCTCTTTAATAAACTCAGTCTTTGCAGATTTAAGCTCTTCCTGATGATTCGATGATCGTTTTCACTTGCAAACTGATGGCAATATTCCAGCATTTATTGGTGAATTACTGTGGGTGGAGCTTCATTGATGATGTGAATGCAGTGGGAGGAGCTTCACTGATGATGTTTTTGTTGTGGGAGGAGCCTCACTGATTATGTAGTTGTTGTGGGAGGAGCTTCACTGATGATGTGGTTGCAGTGGAAGAAGCTGATCTACCAAAATCAAAAATATAAATTTGTTTTTACACTAATTGATTACAGAATATACAAATGTAAATTCTTCCAAATATAAAGAGTGGTAGGAAACGTCTCAGGTTACTTATGTAACCATGGTTCCCTGAGTAGGGAACGAGACACTGCGTATGATGATTCGATGATCGTTTTCACTTGCAAACTGATGGCAATATTCCAGCATTTATTGGTGAATTACTGTGGGTGGAGCTTCATTGATGATGTGAATGCAGTGGGAGGAGCTTCACTGATGATGTTTTTGTTGTGGGAGGAGCCTCACTGATTATGTAGTTGTTGTGGGAGGAGCTTCACTGATGATGTTTTTGTTGTGGGAGGAGCCTCACTGATTATGTAGTTGTTGTGGGAGGAGCTTCACTGATGATGTGATTGTTGTGGGTGGAGCTTCATTGATGATGTGATTGCAGTGGGAGGAGCTTCATTGATGATGTGTTTGTTGTGGGAGGAGCTTAACTGATGATGTGGTTGCAGTGGAAGAAGCTGATCTACCAAAATCAAAAATATAAATTTGTTTTTACACTAATTGATTACAGAATATACAAATGTAAATTCTTCCAAATATAAAGAGTGGTAGGAAACGTCTCAGGTTACTTATGTAACCATGGTTCCCCGGTGCGACTATAGTATAAATAGGCACCGGGAGAACACATCATCCACTTCTTCGTCTGAAGCTTGCGTCCGAAGCGTGGCAAGAAACCTAGAGGACGCAATGTCTCGTTCACTACTCAGGGAACCATGGTTACATAAGTAACCTGAGATGTTCCCTTTCATGGGAACTTCAAACTGCGTCCTCTAGGGCTCGCTATTGGGACGCCTCGTCGTGACCCGTGTCTGAAGCATACATTGAAAAAACACCAACTCGTTGGCCGGCGACAGCCATGACGT